GGGTGACACAGGGACACATCTGGATAAATAGGGGCACATCTGGGCACCACAGGGGCGCTTCTGGACACCACAGGGGCACATCTGGATAAATAGGGGCACATCTGGGCACCACAGGAGCACTTCTGGGTGACACGGAGCACATCTGGATAAATAGGGGCACATCTGGGTGACACAGGGACACATCTGGATAAATAAGGGCACATCTGGACACCACAGGGGCACATCTGGACACCACGGGGGCATATCTGGGTGACACAGGGACACATCTGGATAAATAAGGGCACATCTGGGCACCACGTGGGCACATCTGGATAAATAGGGGCTCATCTGGGCACCACAGGGGCACATCTGGGCGACACAGGGGCACATCTGGACATGGGGGTACATCTGGGTGACGCAGGGGCACACTTTAAGCCCTGGCTTCTCTAGGAAAGCCCCAGCAGCAGGAACAGGACCAAGATTCCTCCCCCTGCCCTGGTTTCCAGCAGCTTTTCCATCCCCACAGCCCAGGGAGCAATGTCCCAGCAGGGGCAGCTCCCCCCCTAAGCCTGGCCTAGGCCCAGCTCTGTCAGCATTGAACCCAGCACCAGAGCAGGAATAGCCCCAAAGCTGGGGCTTTGTCCCTGTCTTAAAACCCCCCAGCTCTGAGCAAGTGCTGCAGCCACCCTGCCTGTCACCTCCTTTGAGAACGTGGAGCATAAAGCCAGGCTTAAGCAAAATTAATCCTATCTTAACTCTGTGCAGAGTTAAACCCATCCCAGCAGCACCACAGGAGCACAGGGCTGCTGCAAGGCCTTGTGCCCCCCACCCCAGGTCCCTTGGTGCCCCCCAGGTCCCTTGGTGCCCCCTCTCCCCTGAACTGAGCACCAGGGCAAGCAGAGCCCAGCAGCTCCTAGCCCAGGGCTACTTCAGACTCAATTTTTAGCAGCTGTGGCTTAACCAAGCCCTGGAGCCGAGCTCAGAACCAAAACCAAGTCCTCAGGAGCTGGGACTGCCTCCCCCCAGGGACAAAGAGCTGCGAGCTGGAGCTGAGGCCACCAAATGGGAAAAGGAAAGGGAAAATAAGCACAAAACACCCCAAGTTTGTGTGATCTGCACGCCAGATTTGAGTGATCCAACCCCTTTTCCCTCTCTGCAGCTTTTGTCCGCAAGGATGCCCTTCCCCTGGGCACCTTCTCCAAGTACACGTGGCACATCACCAACATCCTGCAGGTCAAGCAGATCTTCGATACACCCGAGGTAAGGATGGGTGGGACATATCCCTACCCCAAACCCCAGCACCCCCTTCTTGACCCCTGCTGTTGTGGTTTAGGGCTGGGCTGGCCA